TGCTGAAGGAAAACAGGCTAAAAAAAACACAAAATTTTGATAGAAAACATATTTTCCAGCTCAGATGAGTTCTACTTTCACTCTGTGTCAATTGACACTACAATATTATAATAGTAGACAGACACATTTTTCAGTTGTGATTTTTTAAAATATATATGTGTCCACTTAATTCTGGCTGAATTCACCTCCTTTTTTATCAATATTTAGAGAGAAAAAAAATAGCTAAGTTTGAAATAAAAGCTAGTGCATTTTTCTGGTATTTTAGTGTGCTTTGGAGACCATGAAATTGCTACACAGATTTTGAAAAGTATCAAGCCACCACAGATGAAAAGCCTTGGGCGAAAAGTCAAGAATTATGATGATGATGTGTGGGAGAAAAGGTGTTTCGAAGTTGTAAAGACTGGAAACCGGCATAAAGTAAGTATAATATAGACTAATGTTTTATTTTGCACTGCACTCGGGGTATTGTTCAAGGGAGGATGGTGGGTGTGTACGCAGTTTGTGTGTGTGTGCGTTTATGAAGTGTAATTGGACGACATCGATGGATATGGACGGCCTCTTTGGAGTTGCCTTGAATTTTGTTTAAAATTTTCTGCTGTCTCTTTTTTTTTCAATAAAATTCCACCTTTAGTTGTACATTATGAAAATCTTACTTTGAAGAGCAGAATTTTCTTAGCTTTGTTTTTCATGTCTGTTTCGGCTTTGAGTTCTGAAGGTATAGCATGTGATGAAATATTGCATGGAAACAAAATTTGAACGAGACCAATTTTCTAAGAGCTAAATTCAGTCATCAGTTATATCCAAATTCCCAGCACATTCTGTCCATGGAATGTACTGTCTCTGCCTAAGATCCCGCTGCTTATGGTCCCGGTTCGTCTAAGATCCCGCTGTTTTGGAAAAACATATGTAGTATAGTAGTATGTAGTATAGGGTTTTACGGCGCTCGCAACTGCTAAGGTCATATGAGCGCAGGAAAAACATAATTTTTTCTATATTATATAAAAGTCACCTCTAAGGTCCGACTCTGACCCGCACTGAAGGAACTACATTCGGCTAAAATCCGGCTTTTCAGGTCATGATTTAGTTTGGGTTTTTTTCTTTCTTTTTAAGAAAAAAAAAGAATAAACCTGGGTGCGCTCAGCTGATCAACCAAGTAGCAAATATATGCCATCATTATACGGCCCGTCACATTCCATCAAACTGTGAACTCATGGACACTTACGTTTTCCAGACCATCTCTCTCGTCTTTGAGTTTTGCGCTCGAACTTCCTAGACAGACTGGCACCCATACTCTTGGACTGTCCGATCGCCTTTGCGTAATGTGGTCATCAGTTGGCAGTGAACCTGCCTTTCATTTTAAAAAAGAATTAGTGTTGACAGTGTGGTCACAACACAACGATTTATGATGCATTATCATTACATGAGCGGGGAACTCTGTCAGAGATGGGAAGCAATAAAATTTTGGTGGGGACATTGCCTGGAACCTGCTGGTTCCCACCTGACACAGTTTTTTTTTAAAGCCCCACCACCCCCTTCCCCAAAGAAAAAAAAAATACACAGAAAAACGGAAAAACTTACTTCTGAAAAGAAGTTTGTGTGCCCAGGAGTCACTTCAGTTCATTTTAAAGTAAGAGGAGATCATTGTACAGATTTTGGACCTGACCATGAGTTACTATGGATTCTTCCCCCTAGTCTTTCAGCTAAGATCCCGGTTCACATAAGATCCCACATTTTTCTTGCTCCTGAGCACCGGGATCTTAGGTGGAGACCACTGTATAGTAAAAGTTAGGCTAGTTTAGCTTTCAGATATAATAGCTTTCATAAGAAGGGCATTAATATGTAAATGAATTTAAAAACTGTGGAAGCTGCTTAAACCGAAATCTGCAGGACCTTCGGATCTTCTTAGGTTTAGACGAGTTTTCAATTTAGAAGGATTCTTCAGATAGAAGAATAAAACATTGAGGGTTTAAATTTCTTTCAGTTTATGGCAGTTGTTGGATTATTATTGTTCAGTTCAAGCATACTCCTCTGTAGTTGAATACATGATTTATTGTAAATTTCCCCATTTGAGAACATTGCAACAGATTATTCATGCTATTACTTTTGAACCAGTGTAGCAAACATAGGCCTGTACAGTGGAAACCTGATGTAACAGGAATGGTAGGACGTAAGAAAAAGTCCTGTTATATCAGATCCCTGTTAAATCTGAAACGCAAGGAAAGTAAGTATTTGTGGACTAATCCAGCTGTATTTATTCATGGGTAATTTCCCTTGACGCAAGGTAATTTCCCTTGCCACAAGTACCCACGAACAAGGGTTTTGGACAAGGTAATAATTATTGCATGTAAGGGTTTGTTTTTTTTAATTTGTTTCCTTTTTTTTCGTTTTGCTTTGTTTTATTGTATTTTTTTTTCAATGAGAGACACAAGTGGGAACCAGTTGTCTTCAGGCATATGCCCCTCTCTTGTGGCCTTGTGGCAGGCCTGCGCATAGCACATTACACGTGAGTGTAGCTTGACTCAGGGCTAGATCGATGTCTGCAGCATACCGCAGCCCTCTCTTGCTTCACCCGCTGCGTGTGCTTGCAGTGGAGTGGCTTGTGTGGGCTTGCTCCATCACTGCGTTTCTCTCTCTTTCTCTCTCTCTTACTTTTTACTCATTGTTAACGAGCCTTTGTCCCTGCTATAACCGATTTGGCTCCGATGAGGCCCTGTTATTGCCGATTATAACTTAATATAGACAAAGAGTAGGAAAAAACGGGGATTAAAAAAATTACCGGATCCCTGTTATTACCGGGCCTGTTATGTTTGGTTTCCACTGAATGGCAAACACTATATCCTGTCTTCAAATTCTTTTTTGGTCTTTCTCATTTTTCAGTTCTCACAACATAAAGACCTGAAACAAGCGCTTTTTGCGACCAGAGGAAAGATTTTGGTTGAGGCAAGTCCCTCAGACAACAAGTGGGGTATTGGCTTGGCTGAGAGTAATCCACAAGCATGGGACAAGTCAACCTGGAGAGGCCGTAATCTTTTGGGATATGCTCTCACTGAAGTCAGAGACGAACTGATGAGGGAAGAAGGAATGTTATAATAACACTTTCTTTCTGTTTGAAGTCACATTTACTATGAGAGAGGGTTTTTGGGATTCAGTAACTGTACATTACAGCATTAGCTAAACTATAATAATGGTTTCAAGAGCTTTTGTTAGATGACCAGATTTGTTTTACTCAAAAAAAATATAATGTTGATTTATAAGGATTCATAGAGATTAGGGAAATTGTAAAAGAAGGTACAGACAAATTTCCAGATTTTATTTTGTTACCGTACACTTTTCTTCTGCAAGATGACCCTTAGTGACTTAGTGTCACTGACTATCAGCTGCACTCTGTACAGCTTTTTTTTAACGTACGGTACTCAAATGTTATAATGAAAAGTTGCACCTATTTAAAGTGTAATGAACTCTTCTTGTGTTCATAGGCATGTTGAGTTTTTAGATGTGTGGAAAAGAAATAATAAGGCAATGCAAAAGATGGGTTTCTTTTTCCAAAAAGCAGCAAATTTGCGTTATAAAATGTTTATAAATGTTTTTATGCTTTGATTATCACAGCTTACATATTGCAATAGCCGGACATATTGTTCTCCAGAGTCTATTAGTTTTGAAGTACTGTGCTCCCCTATTGTAGGGCTCATGCTGGTGCACTCAGTGGAGGAAAGACCTAGTCTTTTTAGACAAGAGAACAGAGGTCTAGTGTGCAAAGTTATCATTGCTGTCAAAAGCGAAAGAGAAGACGTGCCAAGGCTACTTGCCCAGGCTAATTGTGTAAATGTATCTTCGCCTAGACTTTAAGAATCCGTTTTATGTACAAACAATTGTGAAGCACCTTGGTGAAATCTGGTGCTTGTCAAAATAATGAAATCGAAGAAACCAGCACTTTTCTGACAATTTTGGATGTTACTGAAAAACGTTAATTGGAGGCCAAAAAAATGAAAATGTTCGGTTTCCAAGAACTCTCAAGCTATGGAAGTCACCAAACTCGGGCGGCCATTTTTTTGCTAATTTTTCCTCTGATACCAGGCGACCCCCACCTCCTTCAGTTGTAAATGTTTTTACTTCTGTTCAAGATAAATAAGTATTTTTTTCATCGAAAGCAAGATAAATGGACAAGCTTTAAGATGATACCGATAACTCCGCATGCCCATAAACTGTCTGGTACCTGATTCCATCGCATCCTGGCACAATTATGAGTTTAGTCATGTAAGCTCAGAAAAGTAGCATATATGGGTGCCTGAGTTGCATTGGATCCTACATTCCAGTAGAAAAAGCATTTAGGCTATACGTTAAACTTTGTTGTCCCTTTACTTAAGCAGGGGAACCTAGGAACAGAAGGAAAACCTTATAAATGTGACTAGGAAAGGCACTAGTGAGATTTTTTGCATCAACAATCTACTCAAAAATAGGCTTTACATACCTTACGTTTGTGATAGCACTCTGACCGACCCAGTAGCTGTGATATTACCAAACATTCTCAACTTTTTAGAGTATAATCACCTCAGATATTTTTATATTCTAATTATTCCATTAAATGTTTTGCTTTTGTATGAGGTAGTACCCTTTGTTCAGGCATCTTTGTTTTTAAGCGGAGTGCTTGATCTGTTTGTTTTTTTAGCCGGGGGGGGGGGGGGGGGTGTTTTGGGTTGTTGTTGGTTTTTTATGTCTGTTTTACACCCTCATTGACACAATTAAGATTATTTAGAAGACAGGCATTGACTTTGCCTAGGCCAGCATGAGCTGAGAGGATACGATGTCCCAGCAGAAATACTCTATAAAAATGTTCCCCTCATGGGAATCAAACTGGGTGTCTTCTGCTTGTGACAAAGAAGCACCTAATCGCTACACCACAGACGCTGGAGGTTTTCCTTAAAACAGAGTATGTGATCTTGTAGTCAGAATCAGTAAATAAGATTAAGAAGGAGAAAGAAGTCAGAGAAGATGCATGAAATAATATTATTAGATGTGAATTTCAATGGCTGGGTGTAAGTGTATGATCAAAGTATGGCATTTGTTAAGAGTCTTCGTTCAGCCATCGATTTGAACGTCAGTGTGCATGTTGTACTATTCCTCTTTTTGAGGAATTGCTGCTCCTGTAGGGATGCCATCGACCTATTTATAACGCATCATTTGGCTGGAACTTGTATTGGTGGTAAAATGTCCTTCTCATGAATCTGTATCATTTGCTATGTGTAAGCTCACCGGTGTGGTAAATTGTTTTGGGGGGTTTCTGTTGCTGTGTTATCTTTCACTTAGATTTATTCTGTCATCATATTTTTTTTTAGTTTGTTTTATGGGGCTGTTTTTTTCTTTTTGGAAAATGTAACTATTATCTCTAAAGAGAGCTTTGGAGTGCATCTCTGGAATTGATGCTCTTTTGTCTTGTATTTACCTTCAGTCACATTTCAGCCATCCTTTGAGATATGGTTACTTTACGTGAATCTAGCCTTGAATAAGAAGGGAGTAAAATAAAAAAGCTCAATTTTTTTTTTTCATTTTTCGTCTGATCTTGAATCTGACCAAAAAATTTTGTTTATCTGACAAGCCTTATTACCTAAGGAGCCATTTTCCTATTGCTGGTACCTGTGTTATACAAAAGCACACCGTCTTTGAGATTAGAATAATTCTAGCTCTACAAACATATTCCCTGGAATGGAACAAAGAATGTGTTTACGCCCATTTAGCGAACATTTGGAAAACACTGATAAGATTCAAGGGAAGTTGGACAGGTTTCTTTAGAAACATACTTCAGTGCAAGTGTTGTGAAAGCTGGTTTGAAAGAAAATGCTGCCAAGAACTGGGTGTCCATGGTGATCTCATAGTTGTTATTCACAGAAAACCGCGTTTATGCTTAATGTATAATTTTTGTGTCTCATTGAATTCACATAATACTCTTTTGCTTGTTTCAATGTTTTCATGCTCAAGAGGTGCTCAAACAAATAATGTATTTGAACACCCTTTGGTAAAGTCTTTTTTCTCAGGGACATGTTGATTTAGCGAGTAAGTGAGTGAATGGCTGAAAATGAATCTTTCTTTCTATTTTTATATTATGCTCTTCCTAGTCCTTTGTGAAGCTATTTTTATTTTCTCATTTCTGCTGAGATAATGTCAAACCACCTCATCGAATTTTCAGAAAGACATGTTGTGAAAGTCTGCTGAAATTTCATTCTTATGATATAATATATGTTCTTATAATGCGTATAAATGATATTTTATGTTGAAAATAAATCAGACCTTGTGAATTATTTGTTCTTGTGCTTGTTCATGATTAGATTTAGCAGCTTATTTATAGGCCTTCCAGTGTAATTTGATCAGCAACCAGAGTCCCACCTCCTGTGTACCGGTATGTCATGAGCTAATGTACCTTTAAATGTCCTCCATGGCGTCTATTCTTTGTCAATGGCTGGTGCCAAGGCAAATGAATCCACTTTGACTAGCAGCATGGAACTCTTTTGCCCCTTCCTATTATTACCCCAAAGAATCAATACTGTCTGAAATATGTCACGACGTGGTGGAATCTGGCACTCGTCAATTTTGGGGCATATGGAGTTCTTGGTATCATCTAAAAGCCTATAAATATTCATTTGCCTTCCTTTTGGTAAAAAAAAATAACAATCTATGATCTTGAATAGAAGTCGAAATATTTGGGATTAAAAGAGACCTGGGTCGCCTGGTTTCAGATGTAAAATTAGTGAGAAAATGGCTGCCAAAGTTTGGTAACTTCCATAGTTTGAGAGTCCTTGGAAACTGAAAATGTACATTATTTGTGCCTTAAATCCATGTTTTTTCAGTAAAATCCACACAAAAATGTTTTTAAATGGATAGAAAATATATAAAAGGTGTTGAGCCAAAAAGAGAAAATTAGAAAAAAATTGCCCGGGCCATGAAAATTCCGATTTCTTTGTTTTAATTATTTTGACAAGGCCTGGGTTCACCATGATGCCTCACAATATTCTTCTATGGCATTTTGGTTAGTCACTTATTAATTATTGATTTCAGAATTTATTTCTGATGAAGTGTTTTTATTTGATTTTTACCCCCTTTTTAACTTCAATAGTGTTATTGTGGGAAGGAACCACAGAATTCTACACTAAGTGTAGAATTCTGTGGAAGGAACCCAAATTAATGACAATCTCCAGAGCTAAGCTTGGGAGATAGAAAGTTCTTCAAACGACCTTAGTTTTTAAAAATGAGTCGGACCCGTGGTCAGTCTCCCCTCAGTCCTGTCAACTAGACGAATGTCACACCTCATTTAGCTACTTAGAGATCTAATTGATGTATTCATCAAGAAAATATTTTTTTCTGCTTAATTTGTTCTCAAATTCATGAACTGTTAGAAATGTGATGTACAATAACAGACCAGATTGCTATCAAAGCAAATGTTTCTCAAACAACATCAGTAGTCCTGCGTTCCCCCCCCCCCTATTGTTTCTGTCAGCCTGTCTTGCCTCTCCCCATACAAAGTGACCATCACCATTGGTGGGCTTCTCATTACTCAAACTCAAACAAAAGCAATCATAAACTCAATATAATACATTGCTCACAGATTTACAGGCTACCTTGTTACAAGTATACAGGGTGATTTTTTTTTTTAACTGTACAAATTTTTTTCTAAATATCTCCTAGAAAATTTGTACTGGAATGTTGTAATTTGGAACAGATATATAATTAATTCAAAAGGAATTTGTTTAACATACTGTTCACATAGATTAAACTTATTTTCGAAAACGGAAATGGCTTTTATCAATAACTTAATGAAAACCACCTACAAATACACAATGCACCAATTTTTTGAAAAAGATCTTGTAAGGAAAGTCATGAAATAATTGGTTTGGGGTTTTTTTCCCTTTCCTTTTATCTTAAAAATCTAATATCCATCCCTGTAACCTTTAAACAATATTTCTTTTCTCCAACAAAG